GGGTTGTCATCACATTTATGCGGAAAATATTCAGAATTACTAAATATGAACATAAGTACTTATAATAACGAAGATATATTCAAGTCTGAAGTTGAACTATGGAAAGCCAAATGCAACAGTAATAATACAATGTACAATGTATTGGTAATGTAGAACTTTTGAAATTGTGTGACGGAGACATCTATCCAAATTGTAATTTTTCAATTAAGATTTTGGTTGTATTAACTGTGACAGTGTCATCGGCAGAGAGAAGTTTCTCTACCCTCAAAAGGTTAAAAGTCTGGTTGAGAAATAGAATGAGTGAAGAGAGATTAGTTGGATTAGCTCTGTACATAATGATATTGAAATCACGCCTGATGAAGTCATTGACCTGTTTGCCAAAAGTACAAATAGAAAGCTAGACTTAATTCTTTAAATTTGAATTTAACATTTTATTTTTATAATTATTTTATTGACATATTATATACTATTGTGTAAAATGTACATTTATATGTAATCTTATTATATTTTTAATTTTTTTTTTGTATTTTTTTTGTCGCTGTACCTAAACCAGATCTCTTAAATTAGTGTTTTTTTGTAAGTATAAAAATATTGTCATTGATACCAATTTGTAAGAATAAATTCTAAATGGTGAATATTAATAAGGAAATAATAAGTAATTAATGTTTATATTAATAAGTATGTTATTAAGTAGGTATGAATAGTATCTGATTGATATATTTTTATTACCCCTCTATTGATTCTTCTTGATCCACCCCCGGCGCAGGTATCATAATTACAGGGGCAAGAATTGAACACACCAACCTCACCCACATCTATCTAATCAAGCACGAAATATCCATGTGTATTCAATGCAACGAATACCTAATAATGAAGCACATCAAGTTACGCTGACCAAAATTCTCACCTTCAAGATCCATTCTAAACCATCCAATCACAATGGAAACAGCACTCGGTGATCACAACACACTTCAGATTCATCTCTTCTTCAAAGCCATCGAATATATTTCCAAAATCTAAAATGAAAGGTCCCATCAAAAAACTTTTCAAATATTCAATATCATTGTACAACCTATTTTTGCTAAGCTAATTTTGAGTGAACATAATTCTAACACTAAGATAAAATATACCATAATGCAATTCTGTAAAGTAAACATAGGATAATGACCTAGTTGTTGAAGCTTTAATTCCCGAATAAAAAAATATATGTATATGATTGTAGACTACAAATAGTTTACAACTGTATCTAGGTGTATCATTACCTACTTATCAATTATTGATATTGGTCATTGAATTTGATATATTTAAGACGATGTATCTTTTGACCATGTAAAATAATAACTAGGTACCTACTAATAATAGTGACTTTACAGAAAGGAAATTACAAAAATAATTATTTCGTCGATAAGTTTAATATTTTATTATAATTTACCATGTGCCCTTTAAGAGCAAAATAAATTTAATATTTTGATGCATAGATGACTTTCGTAAATTTATCTTTATTTTAACGGTTATTACTACTTTATTATGTATAATATATTACACCATGTACGCCTGTTTTATTATAATGTATTTACCGTGTTCAATAATTTACAATATAAAGTAGGTACCCACACTAAGTAATTACATTTTATATATTTTTAATAGAGAGAAAAAACCATCAACAAAATGTTTAACATAGAATAATTTTACATCATATTCTTTTTATTCTAAACGAAGTTTGTGAGCTATACCTATCGTTCTCAATCAATTTATCTGATCTACCTATATTTTTATATAACAGGTGTGTGTATACCTACCTATTTATAAAATGTATATATTATAAAATTAGAAACATGTATTAAAGTATTATATTGTACAAAATATCATATTATACTTTATACATTTATCACTTTATATCGGTACCTACGCTCAAACCGATTGTTCTTACAATATCAATTTGTCAGGTTCCAAAATATTATATCGTTTATTCGTTTGCCGCGGGCTCCCTAAGTCTTAATCCGGCCCTGGCTGTAGATACGTTATACCTACTTATTATTTATTAATTATTACCTTTTGATATATTACCTATCATATCTACGTAATTATATATAACGTAATAGACAATTATACAGTGAAGGGGCCTAATACACGAGGTAGGCACATACATGGCTACATAATTGACATTGTATATTTGTGTGCTAATATTATAGACATATTTATGCGTGTCCGTCATAGTCAGCCGCACAATGAGTACCAAATTATGCTAAATAGTCCAAAACGTACGATATCAATAAACTGCACGTGTTATGGATAAAATCGTACCAATACGTTTTCTTCCGCTACCTACCTACCTTATGTCTTAACTCTTTCAAAATCATTCGATAGACGTCGACGAGTTGGTGATGTTACGTGTTGGTAGATTATTTCATTGCAGTTTTAATCAATGTGTTAGCCACTGTTAGGTATATTTTTTCTATACCCGACCGTCCCTCATCAATATCATACTATTATGATCGTACTACGGTGATAAAATCATATTATGATATATTCAAATATTATGTCATGAACGGCGATGGTATACTCAATTATACGTGACCGCTGACATAATAATAATAATATATCGAATCGTCAAGATATAATAAAGTTATTATGATAGATGTCCGTACCTACCGCGCGTCCGCATTATCATATATAAACAATGATAATAATTACAAAGTCACACTGCTGTCAAAATATGAAATAAAATAAATTCCTGAACATCATTAGCAACACAGTTGTGTACGCCCGTCATTAGAATATAGAATACAAGCGTCGATTATAAATAGCGTTAATTAGCATCAACAAGTAGCCGTGCGTACATTATTAATTGTTAGGTGCACCACGACGTCCACGCCGTATACAAGAAGCATAATGCATACGGTATGGGATAATAATACCTACCTATAATATAGTCCTTACGCATTGAGAAGGATAACAGTAGCATTTTTATAGACAGTACTCGCGGCTCTTCGCGTATAGCCATATTACGTATACAACATAAAACAATATTATTATTTGTTAGAGTAAATATTGTTACGATATTGTGTAAAGATTATACCTGCCTACACATTTTATCCGTGTGCAGTGACTATAATATTACGTTCAACGAGTATGTAACAATAATATATATCTACCAGCAATCCGCAGAGATATTTGAATATTTCCTTGGCTGATTGAAAGCGCAAGTGTACGTGCGGACAATAATTATTATTACAAGGAATCACAATAATATCATACCTGTGTATAGTACGTACACCTCTATGACTGCGAGTGTGTATATACCGACTGCAAGTGGTACCGACCTTTACCTGCAGCTATTTCATAATCAGATTGTTTACAACACATTATACATTATTTTATATAATATATTAATATACATATTATAATATTATATACCAGCGACAACAAAAAAAAAAATTATACACTTGAATTACGAAACGTACCGATGTATAATAATAACCTTGCAGTCGTCGGCTGGATCGGTGCGGTGAAGATTTTTCGATTCAAAATAAGTGAGATTTATATAGTAATTATATATTTTAATATGAGCAATATTATATATTTTGAATGGTTTACTTTTAAATTTGTCCATCTCATTTTCGAGACACTACCAAATAAAGTATTGGATAAATTAATAACGAACCAAGCGCTTCTTTGAATATTATGCTACAATAATAATTATACATTCCGAATCCGACACAAGCTCAACAGTCAGCAGCGCTGGACGAAACCTGTCGGCGGCACGACGTAGGTCGGTTGGATGTATATTATATTCAGTAAAAAGAGACCTTCGACACGATTCGAGCGAATAATATAATTGAATAATGTCAAATCGTATTATATAGAGGTACACGTAGGATTATTCCGTTACTGTGTAAAACCAGATTTAACGTAATTCAATGCAATCAACATTAATAACATTATAGCACACTGACACAAAAGCGCGTTGCTTTGATCGCTTTTTCAACTCGACCAGGACACAATACTATATTGTTTTCCGTTGGCTAAAAGATGGTTTCAGCTCGAGTCCGGTGGGTGTAAAATAGTCGGTGTCAGACCACAGCTAGGTCATTTATAATAATATGTGGTCAGTAGTTGTATAAGTAGATATAATATTGATTCGATCATTACCGCATAAAAACGATTTGTACGACAACTATATAACGTTATCGAAATTCCTCCTTGCAGGCCCCCCTCATAGGGGTTGCCTAGCACCCGCTTCCACGCCCAAGAAATGCGAATGCCTATGCTACAATATACTGCGATCGTCTATAAAGTGTACAGTGTTTATTATGTAATTAAGTTGCATTTGTGTTGTAATACAGCAGATCTGCAGAGTTCTGGACCCGTGCCTATATCATCCAGTAAAATTATCACACGGAAAAAGATACTGTTTATTATATTAATAGTCGAGTATTTACGAAACTACGTCAAAACAAGTTTAACCTACCTACATCAACAACATTGTAAACACCAAACAGACATGACGTGATGTGCGTGCACAACAACGATAAAGGCAGGTACAGGTAGGTATCTAATTCTATAATAATATTCATATAAAATATAAATACTCGCCGCATTCGTTTTTTCTTTATTCTTGTAAAATCTCACAACCAGCGCATTATACATTAGGTATGTCTCACGTACCGTACACCAGCTAATCGTCACGCTCGAATTGGATCGATTTTTCGTTTGTAACAAAAGTTTCGAAAATATCATATTGCACGCGTGCCGTATGAATAAATATATACATATTAAATATATGATATATATATTTGTATACACTCACCTGCAAAGCGATTTTCAAGAAGAATAAGTCCCGAGCCAAACAGCGGCCAACCAAGGACGTTTAGAAAAATATCCGTCGGTTCTCATCGGACTCACGTCCGAGTAACCTCCCCTAGGTCGTATCCGGTTGCACGCGGTTTGATTGTGAAACGCGCGAGCTGGCGGCGGCGGCGGCGGCGGTCTGGTTTTCTGCCACGATCGTGGTCGCGACCTCCGATGTCCAAGACCTTCGTGAAATTGAACAGAAAAAAAAACATACACACGCGCGCGCACGCTAGTTACATCTCTTCTGTGCGTGGTTTTTAAATTTTTGTTATCGTATTTTTTCGAGTAGGGGTTCCCAGACGACTGGATAATAGTGGGAGTTTGCTCGGTCCGGCGAGTCGTCAATTCCCTCTGGCCTACTGCCGTTAACATTGTTATTAATCATACTCGCGTTTATGATATGATATGTTCTCCACGCGCCATCCGCCGACGGTTATTGATGCAATATAAATTATAATATAGTATCAGTCAACGGACTATAACAACGGATAGTGTAATATTATTATCGATAGTATAACCGTCCGGTCTTAAATCGAGATCATTTCGAGGACCGTTTCGCTGCTGGAGTGCCCGTATCAGCGTCGGGCCATATCGAAAACGGTACCCGTATCATACATTATTGTAATTATTATTATTATTATTATTGTATAATAAAGATCTCTTGTGCGCCCATGATCTATCTTCCCGAGTTATATAATATCGATCGGTATCGATCGCCATCACCGTCGCCGCCTTGACGTATATCGTTTTAGTACCCTGCAAATCCTGTCTCTGCGAAGACGAGGTAAAGACGGGGTGCAGATTACGTCGAACGACCGACGAAAAAACAGACGGACACACAGATTAGCGGAGACTTGAACGCACGCGAGTCGTAACCATGAAGAACTTCTTCAGCATGATGGGTTTGTCGTACGCGTCTTCCAAAGGCGACGGCCGACGAACCAGCTACAGTGACGGCCGACGGGCCAGCTACAGCGCCGTGCCCGTGGACCACAGGAGGCGTTCTTCGGCGGCCCGTCGTCAGAGTTATGGGGCGAACAGACGAAAGAGCTTGGACCCGGCTGCTGTGCTTGGCCGGCACCTGTTCGACGGTCGCCTGGCAGATCCTCGGACAAGACATACGTGTAAGTACAAAGCATTTGACTTGTTGTTACTGTAGTTGTTGTGAATGCACATTGCGCACATATATTAAAATTTATAACATATACCGTTGGGCGTATCGTGGGGACGCACGTCGTGCAATCGCGTCATAGTAAAGCATATAGTATAAAATATATAAGCCGTCAAAGCACAGTGTATTACAATATTTCAGGTATCTGCAGACGACTCTAAATCGATGGACGGAGATTATATCGATTTTCTTATTGAGGGGGGCTTAAGTAGGCAAAAACGAATTGGATGGATATTAAATTCAAAAAAATACTCGTCGAAAGCATAGATTTATTTTTAATTTTTTTTTTTTTGGGGGGGGGAGCTAAGCATATGATCTGCAACTACTTCCTACGTCATATGCCATATTGATCTTGAGCACGTGTTTCATAACGATGGCTGCGGTCTTTGAAATGTTTTCACTGTATGATTCTATCCAGTCTTCAAAAACACCGCTCATTTGTATATTATGCAAAAATGATTAAAACATATAATATTTTATTAGTATTTTGACGTGAGCACGTGCCTTCATCTTTGCGATACGCCCGGCTTGCTTTTTTTTCGCTTATTTTTTTAAAAAGTTTACCAAGGTTTATAACAGTCTCGATCCTGGTGATTAGATCTATGTTTACGATGGTGGGAAAACTTCGCGTCTAGATCGCCATCACATTGTGTTATTCGTGTTTTCATATGATTATTAGTATATGTTTCGAATCCAGATTCGAATTCCATTTCATATCACGTCGTGATAAAAATAAATCGCTCTTCGATTCATCGCGAATGCTGTGATTATGATATCTAATATACAATAGATCGTACAATTGATACTATATAATTAAATATTATAATACTATGATGTCGCAAGAACGACCGTATATCCAAATTCGATCGCGCTGGTTGGATTTCTGATAAAACCATAAAATAAGTAATAACTAATAACCATATATGCATATTATTATCAGTATTTTATAAATGTGTGTCACCGAGCAAAGTGTATATTATTCATGATAAAACGGTTTGCAGAACGGAGCTGGTTTACCGGAAGCTTAATATGCGACAGAGCAGGTTTTTTACAAAAAACATCTAATATGGCATTAAGCTCAACTGTATTATTAAGTGTATAAATATGGTAGGTATATGTAGGTACAATATGAATTAACATAAACACCAAACACGTATAACATTTTTTTTAGTCCTTGTTGGAGGTTTATGTTTTCTGTGTGCGTACATACGTGGCGTGGCCTTATAATATAACGACTGAACTGTTTTCGTCAACTTAAAAAAAACACAAATATGAACAAGTATACCTACCCATAATTTCGATGTTCTAATTAATTTGTATGACTCCAAACGATGTTCTGCATAATAACACTATATGCCTTGTGATGTACATAAACCGTTCTATTATGGTACTATAACCACACACTTGTATATATATTCTACTCGTATAGGCACGAAATCAGCAATGAAATACTATTTATAAGATTAAGAGCAGAAAAAATGTTTTCTTGAAAATCAATACAACCTATATATACCCAACCAGTGATCAAATCATATCAGTGTTAGTTATGATGAGTATAATTTTGGCGAGGCAACTTACTAATACCAATTTCTTAATGAGGAGGCGGAGGGGGAATCATAATGCTTAAATGCTAAACTTCTTCGCCGTTAACTCACACAAATTAATTCCAATTAGTGTAGGTAGAATGTACTATGTAGTAATATCAATTTTGTCATAAATAATAATAATAATAATAATAATCATAATATAATAACAATACGTCGATTTCATTCTTGCAAATTCAAAACAAACATTTACATTACTTTTTGATTCACTTTATGATGGTGAATCATTACCAGTAGTTGAAGAGCATCTCATCTGAACACGGGAGTTGTACTAGTTTTCACACAAAACCCCGAAATCAAAAAATATGGATCTGGTATTCTCACAAATAGAGACGTTATACTTTATAAACGAAAAAAAAACATTTTTGTTACCACTGTCTGCGAAATGCAGTTGATAAAAACCATAACATACCTGCATAGCTTTGATCAATAATATGCAGGTATTAAAAATATTGTATAAATTATTATAAGTACGTAATATTATGTTTGACTTTTATGAATAAAATTAATTTAAATTTAATTTCATCGTATTTATTAGTAGATAATAATAATTATATGTTGTAGGTACACTCATACATATTGGCATTAATTACTTTTAGAGTTTCATGAACTAAAAATATAAACAACATTTTCAGTAAAAACAAAACTCAGTGGTGACCAAAATGATTTGTTTGGTTTATAATGAATAATATTTCTATGGGTGAAAACCAAAACCCCTTTTTTGAGTTTGGACAAAAAAGAACATTTGAGCGAAAACCATATTAAATACATCTTAAAATTTGAGCTATTTTCTAAATTGATAATTGTATAGACTAATATTTACATCACGTATACAAACGGATAACAACATAACTTTTTAATAGAAAAATGGGTACTTACATTTATAGACTTCATGTAATCAAGAGCCCAAAATATGCCCAATGAAATAAAATCAAAAAGTCCAATGACATGGTGAAATATTTTTTTTATAGTTCTAAAGCATATTAGTGATTGGTCGCGTTTTTAAAAACGATTATGTTGACAATTACAATAGTATTCAGTGGACATTATAGTTTTTTCGGAATAATATGTAAATATAATATTGTTACGCAATGGTCAATGAAAACTATTATGTAATTAAATGTAAAGAGCAAATATTATATAACAATGGTCAATGGGTGATGGTTTTAAATTTAATTCAATGCACATTACATACCTATAATAGTAATGTAGTATACAGCAATGTCAGAATCTTGAAATTCTATAGAAATTCTCAAAAGTATACGATAATTAAACAAAAACCATACTAATTTGCACAATATTATAATGAGGCATACCTATGAAGTAGACTGACGTCAAACTTTGATTGTTGGTCGGAAACTCAAAATGGGTCATCAAGGTTATAGGTAGTCTGGTAGGGAAATCCAAAGTAGTTTTTACCACAAAAGTTAGCTTGCCAAATTTTTAATTTTTAACTTTTCTTTTTTATCAGTAATCTAAATTCGTATACAATATACCTAATACTCAACTAGCTAAACAATATTATTTAAAATAATATCATTAAATATTTACGTTAAATATGTCGATGTGTTTATAATCTTTAAATTAAAAATAACCACACTACGCAGTCTTATATTATAACATACTATTACATTTGAATCGATAAAAGTGAAAACTAAAGTAGGTCGATGCCCTTTTGATATATAGTTGAGAAAAATAGGTAATCAAAATGTCTAAAACGGTATATCGCTTCACGATCGTATTTCTTCTGTTGTTGTTGTTGTTATCGGAGTGAAAAAAACAACCAGCGATAACACTATACACACACACACACACACACTTGCGTGCGTTTTGTTCATTGATCCCTATATGACTACATTATAACATCATAGAACGACAAAAAATGATTTATTAAGTTATAATTTAATGTGATACACTTCTGTGATATTATTTAAAATTGTAATTAAAAAAAAATATCAAAAATTGTTTAAGAGGACGCTACACCTCCCGCATGTTCTGTCTCCGTCTTACAAACGCGAAACGTGTCAAATTCTGCGTTCTGAATAATCCATGTTATAGAACTCTGTTAAAGTTAATATTTTAGCGAATTGACTTACCGTCAAATTTTGAAGTAAGAATATTATCTAGTGAATCTAGTTGGGTTTTGTTTAATATTTTAATTCTGAAGCAAGTTATGAGTATTTTAAAATTGTAAATTGTGGTTTAGTTGTGTTAAACTCAAATTATTACAAATTAATCCTGTACCTTGTGTCCCACGCAAGGCGCGCTGGGGAACCATTCACCAGCATTTTTCCTACTTTATTTACGTTGAAGTATAATAATATATTAATATTATCATTATCTCTCTGGCGGAAATGCTGATGGAATAGTAGATCGGCCTCATAGGCATAACAATATATAATAATAAAATAATATTATAGGCCTACTCGTACTATTATTATGCTACTCGACGATTATGTCGTATTAGAACCTATCGTCGTCAAGCACTTGGATCTTATATTTATACTCTTAGGTCACCTGCATTCCGGACCGCATTCGCGTCCACATTATAGGGTCGCGGCGCACGGACGTCCTGCGCTCGTTATATTAGTATATATCATGAGGTACACAGCCACATTACCGGAAACCGCGATACCATGAGATAGGTATAACATTGTTACCGTGCCGTGTGTACATATGCACGCGGTTCAATTATAACGCACAGAAAAATTGTAAAATATCGATATGGTATAATTATTTATTCCGAGAGATATGTGTATAAACAATTTCTGCCGGGAAGTAGTTATCAAACGATGTATAGCCAAGACCGGAACATCGGCAAGGATAGCTTGTCCCGTAGACACATTCAAGGCAGGCGACCGTATTTGTATATTACCTATATTATGTGCGCCGGCCGAACAACGGGGGACACTGTGATTAGTATCACTCCAACTGTATATAATAATATGCAACATAATATTATGTCTTAGAACGTTATATTATATTAGGTAGGTACCGATAACATACGTTAATATTTTAATTTTTTCGTCTTAGAAAAATGAATAACCTCTTTCCTCCGATATATATAATATATACTGGACCCGTCGATAACGTAGTAATTATGTTTAAAATATACACAAGGTGATTTGTTTTTTTTTTACAGTACTAATTTTCTCGAAATTAAATTACCGTTTTTAAAAATATATTTTTTTCCAATACTTAGAAACAAATATATGAATATAAATACATTCCCAAACAGATTTTTTTACCATTTGTTCATCGTCATAATTTTAGATTTTGAGTGGAGCGATGAGTGTATTGATTTTACAATGATGAGGTTTTTATAATTTTTTTTGTGCGTCTGTATAAT